AGATTGCCGTGCGACATGAATTCGGTGATGATGTAAAAGGGTGGCTCGCGCGTGCAAACGCCTAGAGAAAATATAATAAATAAAAAGATATGTAATTATAAATGCAAGGCAGATATGGATCTGATTTAAATGCTCATTTTAACATTTTCAAATATGCTGCAACTTCCCGCAACGCAACAATCTTCGTAGCACCAATTTCTTTACTCACCAATTAGTTGCACCAAATTTGGATGCTTCATCTCTTTCATAATAGCCGCCTCTTCGAGGAAGTCCTTGAGTGCCATTGTATCCTCCTTGAGCGTTTTCACAGCCACAGTATTGCCGTAACGCTTCCAAACAGCCTCGTACACTTCACCGTACTGGCCGCCGCCCAACTTATGCTTCATCACAATGTCCGTACGGCAGATTTCCCACTCGTCCGGTTCGGGACTGAGTGGGAAAACGGTCGGTTTATTTTGTTTGGGCGCCGGATAAAGCAATGGCGTAATCAACCCGTGCCCTTCATGTTGTACACTATGATGATGCACAAGTTCGGCGAGTGTATTAAATTTAGCTTCCGCTGTGACAAAAACTTTACCATCCGGATCCTCTGAGATGCGATAGTGATATACACGCCCTTCGTATCTGCGCATAGAAAAAAACCCAAAATAGAGAGTGATATAATTAAATTTCCTTATTTACTTTATTATAGCTTTCAAATATGTATACATATATGTATGTATGAACATTCGCCCAAAACGTGCATACCTCAAACTGATGCTCCTTTGGCCTGGCGAACTTTCACTTTCGCGCACCAAGAAACTACCATTGATGCCTGAGCTGAGCAAATATTCGGCTGCATTGCGCGATATGGGTCCATGATACCAAGAGTGTTTCTCCAGCGAGTTAAGTGGCGTCACATAGTTCGATGGTACCCAACCGACATTGCCGGAATCTGAGTGTGCCTCACACCATTCGCCCGATTTGTTGTACGATAAAATACGCACCTGTTCTCCCTTCTTCAGACTTAGTTGATTCTCACCACCAGCTTGAAAGTCATACAATGCTACAAATAATTGTGGATCGTCCTCTTCGGGGCCGGGTGCTAGCAGATTTTCTTTGGATGTCCAACGATGTGCTGACTCAAAACCAGATGTGGCTGAGCTGTGGCCTTGACTGTGGCTTTGTGTGTGCAGCGAAGCGCCATCCTGGCCGGGCAACTCTGCGTCCGCCAGCAATGTTGTGCCGGCAGGAATGTGTGGCAGCGGGCGAGATTGTCGCAGCGCTTCTGTAAATAGCAAAAAAAAATGGAAGGGAGAAAATGTTGTAAATAACTGTATTTTTGTTAGCTACTGTGAGTTACTTGATAATGGGTTAGTAATTTGGGTGATGCGATGCGATTAAAGTAGAAATGTTAACCTTTATTTCAAATATTTGTATAGAAAATTTAAGGATGATCAGTTGATGGAATTTGAGTAGAAATCGAAGTATGAAAGAACAACGAAAATGTTTTTGCCTGCTTGAAGAACCGGCATCTAATTGTAGGCAAATTAATCAATTACCGAAAGTGAAGTCTGTTTTGGGTTTGCCTGAAACGCCGCGTCATTACCATCACTCAGTAGTAAATGTATGTTAGGGCGGGTCAATTATTTTGACTATGCGCGTATAACATAGGAGGATTCTACGTGTAATTCTAAGCAAATTTGCCGAAGAAACAATGGGTCTAAAATCAATTTGGAGTTTGCCAAATTGCGAAAATAGGTTTCGAAAAAAATTTGAAAATTTTCATTGTTGCGCCCTCTGGTGGAAGTTTTAAGAAAAAGATAAGTGCAGAAATGAATACTTCATATCAAAAACCGCTTATAGCATTTTTTTTTTACAAAATTTAAGCACTTCTTTACGACGCTACAGCAAAATGCTAAGAAACCTAATTTCGCAATTTCGCAAACTGCAAAATGATTTCATATACATGGTTTCTTCGGCGAATGTGCTTAGAATTGCACGTAGAATCCTTCGCGCATAGTCGAAAAAATCACCCATACAAATTGACCCGCCCTAATGTATGTTTGTACTATATGAAATTTCGCCCATCGAGTATTTCTTATGCATAAGAAGTTGAAAGTACCTATTTCATCACATTATTTAATCAATTTCAATGATGTTGCAATCAACACACATATTTATTGTATATCGTTCCACATCATCCAACGATATGCTCCATTTGCCCAACATTAAAACTAAATACATATATCAGAGCAATACTTTTAATTTAAAAGGGGATGGGCGGACCGATGTTGCATACCCATTTGAAGGTACATATACCAATCTCTCGGTCGACTCATATGAATGTAAATTAATGCCTGCTCAAGGATACCCAATAGGAACTTCGACCATTCATACTACTAACACATTTATATAAAGAGAACTAAACAGATATATCTACATATCGCCAACTGAAATGCAAAAAGTGGTAACAAACATCGTCGCTAAAATGCAAAAAGTCGTAGGTAATAAAGATTTTAAATGACAATTTTATTGTTATCGTTATTTATAGTTACAAAGCAAAATCGCAGGTTTCCAGAGCTTTACAGAACTACCAGACTTGATATCACTATCGCAAGTGATTTTTTTGTTGATGCCTATCTATAGGTACTTCATGATTTATCGATACTTTTATAGTAATTTATCGATATTTTGTAGTGATTTATAGATACTTTTAGTAATTTATGCATATTTTTTTGTGATTTATCGGTAGCTTCTTCGTTATTTGTCGATAGTGGTACCGTTATTTGTCGACAGTTGTATAGTTAAATATTATCTTTTATATTATAGCTTAAGTTACTGTTTTTCTTTTTTTACAAGAAATGAAATCGTCTTTTTCCAAAAATACCGCTAGAAAATTTGGTAGGAGGAAATAAAACAATACCTACTTTATTTTGGAACGAATTTCTGTTATCCCTAATCAAGTTTGCTTTGGAGACAAGCCGGTTTCGGTTTCTTTCCGCCCTGTCGGAAAAATCAACCAACACCAACAAATAGAACAATCTTTGGTTTTAATAAATAATTTCGATAACGAGCACTTTTCACGGACGTAGCGAACATCGAAAATGAATTAGAAAATAACTGGTAATATGAAGGTAATAAGGATTGGGATGCGTTTTGCTTTTTTTCACTTGAATGAAGTCGTAGTTTACTTTCAAATTAATCCGTCAAAGACAAAAAAAGTCAGGTCATGGCAATTGGAACGGGTCGTTGTTGGTATCGTTCGTGTTGCTTATGCATAATCTGTACTTTATTATTTAGTCACAGATATAAAATCACGATGACAAGTTACACGATTGAACAGCAAGTCCAAATTATAAAACTTGATTGTAAAAATGAGTGTTCCCTGGTAAAAACGGACCAGACCAACAGTCTAGTTGCGCCAATTTCACGCTTCCAGCAATGAAGTCTTCTCATAGAAACCCATAACCGATTCCTCTAACCTTTTATGTAATAACTTCAAGCCATACAGGGGAAAAGAAGCTCAGACAAACACTTAATGCGTGTTACTAGTGAATAAAGTGTGGGTAGTTTGTGACCATCAGTAGTACTAAGATTTCCAAATAAACACCAACTTGTCTGAAATAAAGAAGAAACGTGAACTGGTGCACAAACTAAGCACCAATCGGATTCCCTGCTGGGTCTTAAAGCCTGTGATGAAAGCAAGTTTAACTTCATGGTCGAGGCTAAACGTGACAGCCCACATTCATTTGTAGGCACATATGTTTGTATGTATGTACATATGTACATGAGGACATATATGTACATACATACATACTCTGCAATAATAAGCTTATATATACATATATGGCGGCCAATTTTCCGAAAAGCACCAGTACCTTACCGGTTAAAATTTGACATTTGTTTGCATCAAAAATGTAAGCTTGCGACCAGTTCCCAAGGAATCGTTCTAAAGATAGACAAAAAGCGAGACTCTCACAGATTTGTACATACAGAGTGGTGTTGTCTAGAAATTTTTATCGATAGTGAGTTCAGCTTAACAAAAAATTTCTAAACAACACCACTCTGTGATTGTCAAAATTTAAAAATGCACCAAACGCTCAAAGTGAACATTTGAAAACGCCGTGGCTGTAGCCGAGTGCGCAGAGATGCTTGCTACTATTAGTGGTGCTCCGAGTTCAAATCCCATCGGCGGAACAAAAAATGTATAGTTTTCTGTTGGGTTTTTCTAACTTACGAAAAAGTATCCGTGAAGTACTCAACGAAATCGTATTCATACGAAAAAATCTTCAAGTATATTTACATGGACTAGTACAAACCAGATAATAAAGAACAATTAACCACTATAGGATATCTTATGGTGAGTTCTTGATAGTTGTAACCATTGGCAGGGGAATTATGAGGGACTAGTACTGGTAACAAAATGATTATCTGAGGGCTAACCTAGGGTGAGTCCGAATTGCTGCAGGGTATGTATACATACATATGCACATGTATGTACACACATAGTACTAAACAGTTAGTTAGTTTGGCCAGAAAGGGTGCCACATTGACCTCAAGTGAGAATCGGATCACACACGCAATTACAACTAGTATACTTAACACTAACAAACATTTTGAAACATGGTATTTGAAAACGGGTGAATATTTTTGACTTTTCAAGCAGTCGCTAAAATGTGAATGTAATCACTCCACAGATTGTGCATGTCGAGAAGCCAAACTGCTGTGGCACGAATACAACTTCAAAAGAACACATGACCTCTTCTTAAAGCCTAGAACGGCAGTTGCGCTATATCGTTTTTTTTAATCGAATTTTATACGATAATACGCCCACTTAAATATGTGTCTGTGATAAGCGCTTCGCTTGTGATGAAACTGACAGATCGCCTGCCATGGATGAACGCTAATTGTAACAGGAAGTTAGTTGTTGTTTTTTCATCACAAGTGTCCCAATTCTCGCATTTTTGTAGGCACTGTGACATTTTGAAAATGTTCGAAGTTATTAGCTGCCAGACAGGCCCAAAAAATCCAGCCCAATCCCACCGGCGGCTCTCTCGGTTGATATACAAACATACTGACCGAAAGCTGCTAAAAAATAAGGCAACAAACAGTCAAAATAATTTCTTTTCCCCCGAGTACAATGATCGTATAAAAACCTTACTAACTACATACATTGCAGAAGTAAATAAGCAAACTTGTTTTGAGAGAAGTCCAAGAAAGAGCACAGACACAACCAGACAATTGTACTTGCAAAAGTCACTTGAATTTATGAGTTCTTACTTAAGAATTTAAGGCAAAGAAAGGAAAAAAACTAACAAAAACGTAACCGGCGCATTTTGTTATGCGAGCAGGGGGCAAGTAAGTTCTAGTGCTGGTTTGTTGTCTAAATTCGACGCTTAAAAGGGCTTTCGAGAGCTGAGGAGCATGGAATGACAACAGTCACCTGAGCAAGTACTCATATCAAATAACAACACAAAGGGAAACAATTGACTGCCGTCGTCGGAACGGATGAGAACTGGAATTTTAGAGGCAATTTATGTATCGCAAAGTATTTATGCAGGAATGCTTCAATAAACGTAGTGGCAAGATGTATGAATGTACATTAGGATGGTCCAAAAATACATATGGAAATATGTTAAGTCCGAATCTTAGTGCTCTCACCCTCTATTATTGTTCTATATCGCAAAAATATGCCCCTGTTTTTTTTTTAATTTCGACATCAAAAAACCTTTAGAGATTCGCTCAAAGCGCTTGAAGTTTCCATGTATTTTATATGCGGAAAAAACACTTTTCGTAGAATTGGTATAGAATTCTTGTAATTTTTTTTCGATCGGAAGACGATGTTTCTCTTCAGGAGATTCCCAATAATAATATCCTATAAAAAATAGTTGAGTAAATAAACAAATGGATGTTATTACTGGAAATTACCTAAAGAGAAACAAAGTTTTCCGATCGAACAATATTGATTGTAACTTATTTTAGACCACCCTAATGTACATCCATATAAAGTATTTGTATGTAAGTAGCCGCGGTGCTATCAATTGTACAAGTATTGGTTCATTTGTATTTGTGGTTGAATAAATTTGTTGCTACCATTTTCATTGAGAAAATAAATAATTCACGAAGTCTGAGTGGTAATGAGAAGGAAAAATCGTGTTTTGCGCTTTGAGAGTATGTCTTTTCTTTTTGTCTCTTCTTTACCTTCAAAGAAGCCACATTTTTATGTTGTGGGAAGATACTTAAAAAATTACAAGAATGTTAAAGGTACAGAAATCATTAGTGCAATTTGTAGTGCTGTTTTTGTTTTTTTGTTGCAAAATTCAAGGAGTGCTCGGTTAGGTTGACTAAGTTAATAGCTTGTTTTTGGTCGCTAGCAGGCAGCATTGGTATGCTTGTACAAAGTCTGGGGAGTATTAATGATGCGAAAAATATACAAAATTGTTGTAGTGAAAATATAAATCTCGGTTTCGTGGAATTCAGGAAAATAAGTGTAAATGTTATAGTACCACTTTTTTAATTGTCATGCATTGGTAATAATAAATTGAAGGAGCGGGTTTGGTCTGAGCCTGAGGAGGCAGGTTATAGATAAATTCCTAGAAATAATTCCTATGCATTTTGTTTTAATAATTTTATAATGCTTTAGGCGCGCTTGTAATGAGTTCTACTTTGAGTTTTGGTTTATTTTCAAAACCCACAGTAACTAGGCAATTAGTTAATGTGATACAGTAACTAAAAATAGTGAACAAATAATTTAGCGCATATGAGCAAATCTCACGTGTTGTTTTTTGAGTGTCACTTCCTTCTCTCGCAAGAAAAAAAAAGACGCTAAAGCATTCTTCTGGCATACATATATTTCAATCAATTTAGTTCCAGAAACAAGTACAATACAAAATAAATCAATTTGTTGAACATTTTTAGCCTTAAAATGTTTATTTAGGCGTAAAAGTACCGAAATTACTAATTAAATGTTTAATGTCAATCAATCAATGTTAAATAAAAATGTTTAATGTCAACCACTTTTAAATGAAATAGCTGCTCTTCCGAGTGAGATGAAACCTTGACCTCCCTGCCACGGTATCCAAACGAGACTACCATTTTTCGGCCCCAATTTTACTGTACTACTTTGAACTTTTTGAATGCACACTCGTATTTATAGGCGAACGCCTATACTATTCCCTCTTCTATAATTTGTGGTGTGAGAGTGGTTTTCATGGCTCGAGGACCAAGAATTAAACCTGTGTCCTTCATAGTACACTTATCACATGGCTACGGTGAAATAACTAAAGGCGTATCTAAACAGTAA